GGATCAAGAAAATCAGCTTTTTTGGGAATTATATTGACCCCTGACGACTGCAGTTTAAACTTTTGTTAAACCTTTAACCCTTTTTATTCAGCTCAATTCAGGAACTTTATTTAGTAAATTGCAACAAAAAGCCTTAACAAACTAAGAAAGTTAATATATATTTGTTTTATAGGTTCTGGAGCAAAAGTTACTAGAAGCCCAGACTTTTCAGGAAATCAACAGCAAAAAAAAATATTGAACCTAAATAAATTTTTCTACTCTCCAAGTTTTAAAATTCAAATTTAGATTTTTAATTCTACAATCAATTTTATTAAAGTCATTGCTTTCTAATAATAAAGATAGTTAAATTTTAAAAGTAGAACTATTGAAATTCAGTTAAAACTGATTGATTGTAAAAGAATGAGGTTATCCGCCAAATCAAGGAGCTAAAACAAATTTTAAACCTGGCTGAGGGAGAACTAACTGAAGGAGATACTTTCGAAGATTGGATTCAACAAGGGTTCAACAACATCTCCTTGAGAATCTCCACCATTCTACATTTATACCAAGAAAAGGAGGAATTAGAGGTACATCACGGTAAACTAAGGTCAAATTTGAACCATACCAACCCCTTTGTTACGGTCTTAGTGATTTGCGGCAAATACTGCCCTGCCCCTATTCATGTCTGCCCGGTTTTAACTTTGATGGCCGGTCACACTTTTTACAGTACCCAAGGTAACCCTGTCCAATGAATTATTATGTATTACCTGGACCCTGCCTATCATAGGTCTGTAATACCTACCCCACTAGTTCAGCGTAGTGTGATGACATATTATTAATTTATTTTATTTATATACTTCTTGTCTAATTCTTTCTCTGTGAACAATACAACTTACGTCAAATGTCTGTCACTGTGATTTAAAGGTTCCAAGCTCTCAAGCAAAAAGTGTTAAGAATTTAGCCAATTACTTCTTAAAATCCAAAGCTAAAAACAAGTGCCTAAAAGTGCTAAGATATACATGTAGAGGGCTACAGAAAAGCATAAGTGAGTTAGAGCGTTGAAATCAAAGCCCAAGGCGTTGCCACCCTGTCTAATAAATTGATGAAACTTTCTATAAGTATAGAATAAATCTATGTGGAAGTGATCCAAATATTGTTTAGCAAACCAAAGGGTCCCAGGGAAGGATCATCGAGAGTTGAAATCAAAAAAGTTAGTTGGAAAAATGCAAGAATTTATACCTAAAATTCTGCGAATAGTTTAGTTTTACATGCAGGGAAATGTTTTGTTGCCATGTATCATTTTGTTCAGGACAGCTCTGATTTTGAAGAAGAGGACAATGATAAATTTGTTCAAGTTCGTAGAGAGTTGCTGAACAAGATGGTTTATGAGCCTTGTAAACCTGCAGAACCATACATGGTAATAGTTAGTTGCTAAATATACTTTTCATTGCAAAGATTGGAATGGTAATTGGTGATAGCTAAAAAATACTATACATTGAAACAAATTGAGATGGTAATATATTTGATTAGGAATATGGACTTGGTATAATACAAGAGGAAGAAGAAGAAGAAGAAGAAGAAGAAGAAGTGAAAGTAGAAGTGGACAAGGAAGATAAAATAAAAAATGATATCAAAGATAATGAAGAAGGTCACAAGTTTAAATCTGTAGATGTAGAAAATTTTAAAAATAAAGATGAAGTAACAAAAGATACGGAAACAGGAGCTGAGAAAAAATCAGAGGAAACTCTAGAACACAAAGATGAGGAGCTTGATGGAGAACACAAAGATGAGGAGCTTGATGAAGAACACAAAGATGAGGAGCTTGATGAAGAACACAAAAATGAGGAGCTTGATGAAGAACACAAAGATGAGGAGCTTGATGAAGAACACAAAGTCACAAATAAATCTGAAAAAGTCTATTTAAAAGATAAATCAACTTCTGAAGACAGTATGAGGTAAAAAATTGAAGAAAAATCCCTATTCAAGAATTATTATTAACTGCATTTTTTTTGTTAAGTGGTGAAACAAAACCAACTATTGGAAATATTCGACGGAAAAGTGGAATTAAGGTAAATTAGAAATATGCATAAAAATTGCATAAAACAAGCCAATAGATAGTGCCAAGCCTCAGTTCTCATTTGATTTTTTGTTGTTTGTCTCTTGGAAATTTTTCAAACATAATATTAAAGTCTAAAAATACAAAAATCCGTTCAGATCAACTAATCAACTATCTACTATCAACTAATCAACTATCTACTATCAACTAATCAACTATCTACTATCAACTAATCAACTATCAACTATCAACTAATCAACTATCTACTATCAACTAATCAACTATCAACTATCAACTAATCAACTATCTACTATCAACTAATCAACTAACAAAATGTGTTTAGTCAATGTTTCGTTCAATTGCATTTGACATGAGTGAAGATACAGAAGAGAGTTTTGAGATTCCCGAAGATGACCAGTACAGAATCAAAACCGAGGAGGAAGAAATTCAAGAAGTTGAACAATCACCAACACGCAATTCACTTTCCAAGGAATTTTTAGATAGGAAGAGCAAAATGAAGGTATTGAAGAACAAAAGTTGGATTTAAAAGAAAGCCCAAGCGTGGTTAGACCTAGCTTTTCAATATGCTTGTTAAAATTTGAAAGTGCAGTTGCTAAGTATCTCTTTTGTTGATTTTTATCCACAGTGGTTAGGTCCTAGGATAAACTAGCTAAGGGAATACAGCAACAATAACTTTTTAATATTGAACATTTAATGAATCATTGAAATTTAGCCAATCAGGGGGCGGAACTAATCTCCGTACAGTACGATGATAGGGGTAGCTGGGTTCAGATTGATGAGAGCATTTCCACTCCCTGACTTTACTAGGTGGTGATGAAAGGAGTCTGATGTTATTCTTGTGGAGTACAAGTGAATCTTAAAGACCAGGCCTTATATAAAAATATCCCAACCCGGGATTATGATTAGGACATGTAAAAAATAAGTTAGAAATTTTGACAGTAAATTAACAATTACTGCGGTTGTTTCAGGTCTACTTTCCCTCAACACAGATCTCAACAGACTCAAGCTCAGATAATGTTTGTGAAGCTGGGAAAGAAGAAATGTCCAGTTTTGAAAGTGTTACTAGATTCAACTGTGAGGAGGAGGAGGAAGAGATTCCTCAGGACATCGGTTGTAAAGCTCTTGACAACAGGAATGTTAAATGAGGTTTATGTTTGTTGAAGGTTTCAAATTAATCACTTTTTTAAAAACTTTTCTTTCAAACAAGTTGGCCTTTGATTCCAATCATGGAAATCATCAAATACAATGTTTACTTAATTTCGTTCTTGAAATAAATTGAGCAATAAATGATGCAATATAATCAAAATTAAAAACATACCGTCAAGGATATGAACATTATTTTAGATATTTACTTTTGTTTGAAAAAAAAAATAAAATGAAAAATAGTTGCATAATAATAATAGTGTCTGTAAAAAAATTTATATCTATGATTATATCCAGAACAAAGGAGAATGGCGGTTAGTTTTTTAATCCATTTGTTAGGAATAGGAAAGTGATTTGTAATTTGAAAATTGAAACTAATTACCCCCAAATCCTAACAAGTGTCTCTAATTTAAAGATTGAACAAAGACTACTGAAAAGAACGTCCTTTTTTCTGATTGTGAATTTTAAATGTTTATTATTCAGTCCTCTAACAATAATCCCTAGGTTAGATACCTCTGGTAAACCTGAAGGAATAGCTGAGACTGAAGTGCAGCGCAGGAACAGTATGTTTGAGGACTTGTCTAGTCTGAGGGAAGATAGACCAGTTACCACCAGATTAGAACAAAGGAACAGATAGTGCTTGATTAATGGTCATTATACACTCTAAATGTTAGTTACTATACCACTGTAGTATGAAGCATATGCCTCCGCCATAGTATAACTGCCGGCAATCTTAATGTTATCTGTGTCCGAATTTGATGAATTTAAGCCGCATCTCAAATCCCTCAAAAACAGGTTTCAATTGAGCGCTGGCTTAAATCTTGAAAAATTGAATCAATTTTAAGTGGAACCAACCATATTTGAGCCGCGGCTCAAATTCTTTAAATTCGGCCTCTGGGATCTTATTTCTTTTCTTTTAATTTCCTTTCATTTATTATACTATTTAAGTTTTTTTGTGAAAAAATTGACTGGCATTAATCTTGAAATTGTTTTATTCATTTAAGATCGTTGTTTCTGGACATGTTTTTGGCAATCACTCAAGTGCAAGTGTCAATCCTAAGTTTTTAGATGGATAATAAGCTTATTTGTGAAACAGAAGAAGTAGTCTGTTAGCTGAACCCCTTGACCTTGATACCTCAAAGGTAAGGCTTTCAACAAAGATTTTTTTGCAAATTCTGAACCGAACAATTTCTTTTTGTAACTTTATTTTATAANGATATGATGGAAACTCTAAGACCTCATTTCCTTGAATGTTTAGAAGCGGTGGTCCCTCTCTATTCGGCATGATATGATGGAAACTCTAAGATCTCAGATGGACCTGGATTCAAACAGTGTTTTTCCAACACTGTCCAGGTATAACTGGGAGGATTACTAATGTTAACGTTTCTATTCAACAATGATTAGTTTTTTTCGATGACAATGACAATTCCAATTCCAATGACAATTCCAATTAAGTTTTTAAATGCTCGGTAGGTTCTGCACATTCAAAACTGTTTAGAAAAAATCCACAATTTTCTAAATAATAGTCCAGTGATACAAAAATTAGCAACTTCAAAAAAACAAGAACTATAATTCCAAAAAAAAACACCAAACCCCGCAAAACAAAACTCTAATGAAGTGAAACAAAAAATAACAGCAAAAAACAAAAATCAACATTTTTAGTTCTTTAAACAATTTCTAAGGATAGTTCAACACTTAACTCTCATTTTCAGTTTGAACAAAGAGAACCCGACCAACAAATCCAAAGTTAACAAATTATCTTAAATATTCGCATATTAACAGAAAGAATATTGGATTGGATTATCAAATGACTTTATTTTTGACACCACCATGGAATATGAAGACGACATTAAAGCAATAATAAAGTGTATTTAATGTCGTTACAAAGCAAATAATTTTGCTATTAATTTATTAAATCACCTATTAAGTGGACTAGGTCTGTTTACACTGAAAAATTGCTGTGTCTCATGTTTATTGGACTATTTGAAGTCATAACATGGGTCTAAAATTTATCTTCCTATTCCAGACTTTTCTAATTCTCACTGTATCAATTTTTCAGTGACTTTCTCGAAAGTCTTGACTTGTTGAAAGAGGGCCCGGGTGTCTCAAAACTATCTGATCAAGGTTTGTTTTAACTTGGATTTTTGAGAAATAGCAAATCTTTTTATAAATTAAATTATTTCAAACAATTTTTAAAGGCTAAAATACAAATTTCAGGTAAAAAATTCAGAATATAATAAAATCTAAGAATAATTATATATCTTGTTACGCTAAAATTATTTTTTTTGATCACTTTAAGCACTTTTCTTTGGATTTTAAAAAAAAACCTTTAACATCAGTTTTTATTTTAGAACTCGAAAACAAATTTGCCTTGCTGAATATTGCCATATCAAAGGATAGGTAATTCATATCTAATTCATATATAGGGTTTTAAAAAATTTAATAATTAAAAAAAAGTGTCACTCGAAATATTTTTCAGATATTCTCTCGGTAAACGGTTAAATAAACATGAAACTCTGAGAAAAGAACAAGAAAGCTTATCAGAGAACTTGCTTCATGAAATTAAGGTATAGAGTGTCTCAAAAAATGACTGTTAAAAAACGACTCAATCGTAAATTTCTTTAAGGCATTCATTCATCAATATATAATTTTACATACAGTGAAACCCTTAATAACGAATACATCGGAAGATTTTATCAAATGTCGTCTTGACAATTTTTCAATGAGTTTTATACTATATTTCGTAAATTTCAGTATTTGCAAAAACAAATAAATAGCCATGAATATGCGGGAACAGTTTTAAAGAGTTCTATATAATCATTTAATTAAAAAACTAAAAATCTGCAACATTCCATTATCAGAAAGTGAAAAATACGACATTTGATCAATTCTTTCGATGTATTCGTTATTAAGGGTTTCACTGTATATGATTCCTGAATTAATTATTACAAAACATTCTTGTCCTGGCATTACCAAAATTTCATCCAGATTTTAAGGGGGTGGGGGGGGGGGTTGAATAGGACGCGTTATTGGGACATAATTTGTTAGTTAATTCAAAACAACTGATAAAATTGATAAAAACTTGAAGATGAACCTGTCAGGACTACTCGTAGAAGGAGGAAATTCTGATTTTATTGAAACTATTGGAAATCTACAAAAGGAAGTTCAGGTAATCTGAAAATTAATTAATTTCCATCATTTCTTTTATTCAGTCAAGGGCAATAGCAAATAAACTGAAGTTAGAGTTTTTGTATTTGCATGATCTTCAGCTTAATTCATCTTCGACATCTTGTGGTGGTCAAACCCTGCAGAAATAACTTTAATTGAGGAATCAAGCATTTTGAGAATTCAAGATTAACGATACTCTACACAAAGCTCCGGCCTGATAGACTTTTTAGCCCCCAAATTCCCCATTTAAATTTTTTTCTTCTTCAAATTTTGTTTTAGGTTCTTCAGCACTCGATTTCAAGGCTGGCCAGTACAGCAGAGGCTGTAGGAGCAGTTAAAGTAGAGGACAGTGTAGCATATGCAGTAGAGGTCACTTTTTCATTAAAAAAAAAACAATCTAAGGCATTTCATGCTGTAATAACCAGAAAAGAATAGATAGAAAGACGACATTATAGCAATACTTGAGTGTATTTGATGTTATAACAAAGCAAACAGTTTTACGAGACAAATTTTTAATCAGTAATTTATTAATTTGGGTCTGTTTACATAGCACAATTCCTGTTGCGCATGTTCATTGGACTAAATAAAGTTTAGTCTAAAAGTTTTATTTCTATTGTACTGTACAAAACAATTTTACAGAACGAATGTTTCATTTAATTTTTTTTAAATGGTAGAAGTAAGGTTTCCAATGGGAATTCCCTTCGCGCGAAAATGCTCGAAATTGCGCAAAATTGCGTAGAACTGCAGAATTATAAGGAATTGGATGAAAATGCGCGCAATAAAATTGTTATTCTTCCAACATAATTGTATAAGTGATGTGACATAACTTTTAGTTTTTCTTCAAAACTTAAGGTCGAGTAAAAAGACGCAAGCTGAAAGCAACTCAACATTTTTATCAAAAAAAGGCTACATTTTACCATACCTCACTTTATAAAAGATTTAAACTAATAATAAAGTTATGTTCAAAATTCAAATTAAGAGCTTTGTACGCACATAGATCCAAACTGCTATGAAAAGTTGCATCATATACGACTGGGGTTACTTCATTTTACTTTTTTGTAGCCCTATACATTTTCGTTTTAGAACTATAAAGCACATTTTTTTAGCAGTAACTATACGAGTTTAAAAACCTAAATTGTTAAAATTCTCAAAGATGTTTGGATAAAAGCTTGCAAGGATTACTAGGATCAATCAAATATGATGAGGGGCACTATCCAGTGAGAACCAGAAAACTCTGGAAGAGGAAGACTTCAAGGCTCAAAGTGTAACGTTAAATATAGTCAATGAACATAAGACACAACAATTGTAAAATGTAAACAAACCCATTTTAATAAGCAAGTGATTTAATAAGTTACTAGTGAAACTATTTGTTTTGTAAAAACATCAAAAACATTTATTGGCTTAATGTCGTCTTCCTATTCCATAGTTTTCTGGTTCTTACTGTAGTGCATGTCTGCTTGTACAAAAGTCGAATTGATTGAAGAAGCTATTTTTTCATGTTAAGGTGTATATTCGACATATTGAAAAGCTACGTGCCTTGAAAGAACGCGACGAAAGAGAACTCTATGAATATAGGAGAATTCTAAATATGAAAGGTAAATCTGAAGACGACATTCTTCTTCATCATTAAGAGTAACAAATACAGTTACAATTTCTTTTTTTTTCTTCAACTATAGACTATTCAAAAGTGACCTGAACATTTTCAGTTGGAACAATAACAAAATATAAATTCAAAGGGTCATTTCTTAAGTGCAAGTGAAAAAAACATTCAATTTTCAAACAGTTTTCCGGTTCTAAATTACTGTACATGTAGATCTTTTTACTTTTTTATATCAAAACATGACGGGTTGTCACAAATAAGAATAATTTCAGTTAAATGTAATAAATTTAGAAAGTTTTATTATTTCAAAATTTTTTGAATAGAAAAAGAAGATGAAAACGTGATTCGAAATTTGAAAATTGTAATTCGTATTTAAATTCTGATGGTTTACATGAATGGTAACTTAATAATATTTAAATTTTTATTGTAAACAGTAAACACCCATCTTTAATTTTAGTGGTTATGCTTTATAATCTAGAAAATATGATGCTTCTTCTTTTTTCTACAGTTTACCCCAGTAATTCGGATGAGACATCGAATGAATTTATAAAATGTGGTTCTCTAAACCTATTTTTAATGAAATGCTGCAGATATTTAGTTTTTAATTGAATAATTGTATGGATCTCTTTCAGACTGTTCCTCATACAGTGAAACCCTTAATAACGAATACATCGAAAGAATTTATCAAATGTCGTCTTGACAACTTTTCAATGAGTATTTTACTATATTACGTAAATTTCAGTATTTGCGAAAATAAATAAAAAGCCATGAATATGTAGGAACAGTTTTAAGAGTTCCATATAATATAATTAAAAAACTAAATATCTGCAACATTCCATTATCAGAAAGTGAAGAATACGNGAGATTCACTGGAGAAATGTGCAGGGTATTGACTGGGTTATTTTTTCCAAAACTTAAATGTTCTATTTTGTCTATTTAAATAATTATTTCACTTTGAAAATTTAAAGATATAAGAGTTATGTGTAAATATAGTTGTACTGAATAAAGTAATTGAAACAAAAAAAACATAATTGATAAAGATACACGAGTTCACATAAGTCATATTGTTAACGAAGGGTCCCGGTCTTCATTAACGAATGTATGGTCATTATAATGAAAAGTCGCCGTTTTCGTTAACAACTGCATTGACAAAGGGTCGTTGTAAATAGTAAAAAACCTGTCTTCGTAAATGAAACGACAAGTTAAAAAAACGATGTTTTGAAAATGATTGTCTCGTTTCTCGTTTTAATGTAGGTCATGAACGAAACGATCGGTTCGTTCTTAAAAAAAGGGAAAAACAGTCCATCCCTAGGCACATGATGGAGATTCATTATGATAAACTATATTTCTAGGCACATAATGGAGATTCATTATGATAAAACTATATTTCTAGGCACAAGATGGATATTTATTATGATAAAACTATATTTCTAGGCATATAATGGAGATTCATTATGATAAAACTATATTTATAGGCACAAGGTGGAGATTCATAAAGATAAAACTATATTTCTATGCACAAGATGGAGATTCATTATGATAAAACTATATTTATAGGCACAAGGTGGAGATTCATAAAGATAAAACTATATTTCTAGGCACAAGATGGAGATTCATTATGATAAAACTATATTTATAGGCACAAGGTGGAGATTCATTATGATAAAACTATATTTATAGGCACAAGAAGGAGATTCATTATGATAAAACTATATTTATAGGCACAAGATGGATATTTATTATGATAAAACTATATCTATAGGCACAAGGTGGATATTCATTATAATAAAACTATATTTCTAGGCACAAGATGGAGATGCAACGATGGGAGAGGATCGCAGAGCATCTTTAAGCAAACTAGGAAGCCAGGATAGTTTTCATCCTTCAGGTCAGAACTTACTAAAGGAGTATATATAGAATATCGAAATAATCACAATAAACACAAATTTAAATATTGACCCCCCCCCCCTCAAAATTAATTGAACCTTACTGTCTTAGACTCTGAAGCAGTGAACGAAGGAGGTGAAGAATTAGTTTTGCAACCAGGATTCATTCATTCATTATTTAACAGAAAGTAAGAGATAAATACGTCATCATAATTCAAGAAAAAATTTCAGGAACTTTCAAATGTACAAGTATTTAAAAATAAAAACTTTTAATGATACAATTATCTAATGAAACTTTTCAAAATGTACAATTTCCAATGAAAAGTTCCAAATGTACAATTTTAAAATAAAAAGTAATGAAAAGTGCAATATTAAAAAATGGAAAGTTAAAATGGGAAATTTTCAAATGCAAAACGAAAAGTTTGAAACTCTGCATAATATTTAATGATAAAAAGTTCCAAAACGTACAATTATCCAAATAAAAGTTGCAACATTTTCAGTTTTCCAATGACAAGTTTGAAATTTACAATTACAATCTTTTAACCATTTGGACTTATGCATGCGAAATTTTGAAAAAAGAAATTTCTATCTTGAAAACTTAAAGATTTTTTTTAGCCTATTTTAAACCAAGGTAACCCTGGGTTCCCTAAAAAAATGTCAGCCCATTCGGTCCAACTGTTTGGTCAGCATAGCTGACACATATAAATATATATATATATATATGAGCGGAGAGCTTTATAATATAGAAAGATGTATATCTAAAATGCCAATTTGATGAAAAGCATAAGTTCCTATTCTTAAGGTTTAGGATAGGGTGGTTGGCTGAAGTAGACTGGGATGAGGTATTTTTTATTGATATAATAATTGCTATCATTTTTTGTGCATTTGTTGTCCAAAAAACGTTGGCTTTACAGTCTGATACAGTTAGAACCAGAAAACTGTGGAATAGCAAGACGACATTAAAGTAGTAATTACGCGTATTTGATGTTGTTACAAAGTAAATAGTTTTACTAGTACGTTTGAAAATGACTTATTAGGTGAAATGGATCTGTTTACACTACACAATTGCTTTTATCCTGTTTATTTGACTATTTAAAATCATAATTTAATTCTAAAAGTCTTAGATGACTTCCAGAGTTTTATGGTTCTCACTGTAAAATCCTGGAATATCTTTGAATTGCCTCATTATATTTGTAATAAATAGTTAGGTAAACCATATATTTGTATTTATACACGTGTACTTTAGCTTAAATGTCATTTTGCTATTCTACAGTTTTCTGATTATCACTGTATGTAGTTTTTAGATCTGTATATACTACAGTGGTAGGCGATTATATCAATACAAAGAAGAAGAACTTCGAATAAAATTTTCATATAAACTTAGCTGTTAAACAGCATGGATATAGAAAGCATAAAAGCCAAGAGAAATAATCAATTAAAAAAGCTTCTTTTTCACTACTTGCTAACTTGTAATTCGAAGAAACCTTGAACAATCAAAACTTAATTAAAAAGTCGTCTTCATTTCTAGTGATATAAAAGCTTACCACCGTATATAGCCTAAACTAACAAAAATGTTTTGGGATTTTTTCAAACACCATCCTGTACCCGCGCCTACCCTAAGCATTGACATTTAAAAAAAAAAATTCCTTTAAATTACTATTATTTCAAAATCAATGAAATTTCAAGGTGATAGTACAGGGTGTCCCAATAAACATGGGAATTCAGTGACGCATTTGATATCGTCTTTTTAAATAATTCTTTATTTAGTATATACTGAGAAAGCTGTAATCTGTATGAGTTTCGTCTGCTATGTTCACATTTTGTTTGTTTATGTTTTGACAGCATACGGTTGTACTTAGTAAAACAAGAAAATTACAGTATACAAACAGAGTAAACTTGTCCGTCTTTACTGTTCATCTTGCGGGGACAGTATAGACACATCTTTACAGTCTTTTACCCTTTTCATAAAATAAACTCTAGCAGGCATAATAATATTATGGCTTTTGAAATTAGGTATTACAATGCTAATTCATAACAAAGACGATATCCTATTCGTCACTGAATTCCCATGTTTTTTGGGACACCCTGTAGTTTATGGCAGAAGTTGGCGTATACATACTACTAATTGCTAAGGCAAAAAAAAGAGGGGGGCCAGCCTGTTTAGGGTAAAGTCAAGTCACTCAAGTGTCTTTGGTAGAAAGAAGGCTCAAATTAACTACAAAATCTGTGTAATACTTTTAACAGACGAAAGTTACTAAAAATTGCACAATTTTTTTTGCTTTTTATAACTTTGTTGTTTTACTACTTTTCTTCCTAGGTTGATGCTGGTGAAATTCTGGATTTAGTTCGGAAACTGGCCGCTGTAATCTTGGTGGCAGTAGCAGTTCTTGTTCTTGTGCTGGCTATTTATTAAGCACATACATGTTTATTAGGGTTATTTTGATTCAACGTGATTTTTATTCTAAATCAAAATTTTATCTAAATCAAAATACATGTCATACAGTCATCGTAGCATATATCAAGACAATAAAGGCGACTTTCTATTTCGATGTTTTTTTATATCAAACATTTAAACAGGCTGGATACACAAAAACATGGAAATAAAGAGAAACTGCTTCTCTTTAGTTACCTGTAAGCTTGTAAATCGAAATAATCACAATAAACACAAATTTAAATAAAAAAGTCGTCTTCATTGTATTGATTTAATCACCATGTCACTGTATTATATGTCAAACTTGTAAGATTCCTATTAAATTTCAACAACACACAATTGTATTTTAATGAAATAAATTATATGTTTGTTGACAATAGAAGAGAAAAGGGGTTACTTCCATATTTTAACAGGGGAGGGGGAGGGGGTATTTCAGAATAAAATTCTTATTTACAAGACATTATTATTCTTGTATCAAGGTTGTATAATACACCTCTGCTTTATGTTTAAGATAATAAAGTCATTGTTACTGTTTTTGCCACGCAAATTTTCCCTTTTTCTAGTCTCGCTTATACAGTACAGGGTGTCCAATAAACATGGGAATTCAGTGACGAATTCGAATAATTCTTATATTTAGTATAATAATACCTACTGAGAAAGAGTTTCGTCTGCTAAGTTCACATTTTGTTTGTTTATGCTTTGACTGCATACGG